TGTGCGTGACGACATCTTGGTGCAATTGTTGATTGTGAGCATACGAAAAACCAAATAACAATTTTAATATACATATGTGCGTTAATATTTCTGCGTGGTTTTAAACAATTATTGAGACATTACAAAGCAAAATGAAGTGTGCCGTGGCAAAGTGTGGCGAAAAAGTGGAAGCAGTTCTGCCGGCGAGGAGATGTATTAAACACCAAATCGAGCTATGTGTGCATGAAACACTTTGCTAGTGAAGATATTGCAAATAATATTTTTAGTGATGGTATGAGGTAATGCACCAGTGGATAAGGTCGCCAGGCGCTAATTCAAGCGGCATCTTACCGCGCTGTTACGTACCTAATACAAAACAGTGCCCAAATTATTATACATTTAAAAGTTCAGCTATAAATTATGTTTTTGTTACATAGAATATTTGTTTCCAAAGAAACCACACTCATGCATCTTCTCCGAAATGGTACACAGTCATCAAATAAAAGCTGTGGAGTTTATGGTGGTTGGCTACCGTCCACAAATATAAATATGCACTCTGCATGGCTTTTTAAAATGGCGAGTCCAAAAATCCACTTTGCTGCACACCTTCCTTTTGGTCTACATGAAATTGCAAACACTGTTCATACATCTATTTTTTCATGTGCTAAAAAGGTAAGGGGCTACATGTCCAAAATTATTGTTACGTGTTCCTAATTAATCAATCTTTGTATATATATTGATTCCTGCAAAATTGGGTCATGTAATATTAAAATTAACACATTTTTCTGCATTGTTTACATATTTTTATATGTTTATATATTTTTTGGCATTTCTCTCGCGCAATTGCACCAAGATGACGTCACGCAAAAATTACGCTCAAAAATCCTCTCTCATTGGCGCAATCTTGTATTCTTGTTTGGCGCTATTATTCGAAAATGTCTTGTCGCTCTCTTTGTGGCGTCACTATGTTCTTTACCTTAGGAAAAGAAACTTTAGTTAAAAATTTTTTAAGCATTCAGTACATTAGAAAAGTGATTAAAGCAAGGATTGGTCCCCTAAAGTTAAAACTGTAAAATTCAATAGGGGTATTAATCCAAACGCTTATTGCTTTGTAAACCTCATAAACATACTTAATTTTGTGTGGAAACCCGGTTTATTTACGAGGTTTACACGTTTACGAGGCATTAAGCGTTTAGATGAATTTCCATAAAATGTTAATTTAAATACCGTTATTACACCGATAGATAAATTGTACACGCGAAAAAATCAATATACTCGTGAAACTCTGGGCCAGATAAAGTACATCTATGTTAGTTTTCTCTGACGTCAAGGTATTTGTTAAGGGGACTGTAATAGCCCAGGATATGGTAAACTAAAAAAATATATTATCCATATCCTGGGATTTTGCAGTCCTTTAAAAAAAAGTTTACTATCCTTGTTTTAGGATATTACAGTTCTTTATTAAAAAAAAATCCCTTGTTTCACGAGTCTATCCATTTGTTCGTGAGTACAATTTATTGTCACACGGTGTTATTAGTCTTCTAATTTTTACAATCGACGAGATAACCATGATACAAGTATTTAAAGGTAAAACCGTTGACGGAATGAAACTAATTGTTTTTGGCAATTAAAGTTTCCAAAATCTCTATTTTACGCTCTTTTCGAGCTTCTTCCCTTATGAATCTCTCTTCTTGTTTTTGTCGCCGTTGTTT